CATTCCTGCAAATTGTTCTTCATTAGCTGGTACCTTGTTCTCACAGGAACGAGAATGATAAACATCGTTTCTGTAAGCAAGACTTGGACTAGCCACATAATAGGTGGTTTTTCAGTACAATCCTCTGGCGCCCACGGAGCAGAAGAGTTATTTTAAGGAAGCGTTTGGGAAAGAAAAAAGTTTGGCAGTGTCTGTCCTTCCTGGGATCGACTAAATATGAAAAGGGTGGAGCAAATGCTCATAATGTCTCTGCAGATTTACTGTTCTCCAAACCCTACCTATCAATTTCTTTAATAAAAAGATTCTGACCCTTGTAAAGGGAGCATTTCCTAACACACGTATGTCTGCACGCATGTTGGCTTAACACAGCAGTCACATGCAATGTTTGCTCTACTTCTAGAAAGGCAGCCACAAAGCAGTGCTTTCTGGCCTTCACTTGCAAAATATGCCCAGTAACTTCTTACAGGCTACTTCACAAAAAGCTGCTCCAATCGATGGGTAAGGTTTTCCAGCAGAGGATGAATCGCACTATCAGAGGGCTCCAAATTAAGCATTACCTGTTTTCCCTCTACAATTGAAAGGGGGTTTTGAAAATGTAGAAAGAAATGCAGGCTGTAGCTCTGCAGCACATGACACAGAACTAAATCAGCAACACACATGCTTGCATGCAAAACTAGTCAGCAGAGTATGCATTCCATTAAAAATTTCACTCTAACTCGCCATAAGATCCTCAGGCTGACTTCAAATTAAACATCATGAAAACCACTGGAGGACACAGAGGCAACAGGAAAGCTACTTTGCCTTGAAACAGGAGAGCAGAGTAATGACTAGTTTAAATACTTGGAGCTGATAAAGTACTCTGTGGTCTTCAAATGAGATGATACTGAGTAAATTATCATTCACACCTGAAGCAGCACAGTGCATGTTTTACAGGTTTTTATATTTCTATTCCAAAGCAGTGCCAAACAGAGGAATGTTATAAGCATCTGTTGATAGTACCTAACTCTATTAGTCACATCAGATGGTTTTCTACTACATTTGCTTCTCTTTCTTGCTGTCAGCCACAAAATGCAAGTCACCTGTATTGTTTAACTACAAAGCACTCCCTCCTGTAATATATACAAACCTTAATAAAGTAGTTTATCCCAGCAACCACCTGTGCCCTGTATACTATGGCTGTAAATATGTGACATATCTTGTTTACTCTGATTTCAAATTGTTGCTTCACCTGTAAAAAGAAAGGGAAAGATGGTTGGCAGGTTAAGCTTTAGGCCTTTTCTTTCACATGCACCACTCCAATTTTCATCCTTTCAAACACACACCCGGAAATAAACCCAGAACCCCCCAAATAATTCAATGCACACCAAGACCTCCAGCCCTCTCTCCCAGCACTCCCTCCAGCATTCTTTAAAATCCTGTTAGAATAGACTTTCTAGTTGATTTCTCCCCACCCTGACAGCTGTCCAGCTAAACTGTCTCCTGTTCAGAATGGGAAAACTGCTGCCTGCTGCCCTTTAATGTTTTTTTGTGTGTGTGTGTGTCAAATGAGCTAGGTACCAAGCCATGCTCCCTAGCAGGGTAAAGTCTTCTTTTAAAGACTTGCAATAAAGAGGGTTAGTTGAGAGTATAAAGTAGTTCCTGAAAGTTATTCTAGTGCTGGTGGAAGCCCTGCTGCTAAAGCTGTAACTAAACATACCCTGCAACATCTACAACAATGTAACAAACAAAGACCTGGAAAAGTGTCAGTGGTCTAGGACCAAGCCATGTACTTCCATCTCCCAAACTGGAAATGCAACCTCTAGATTGTGAGTCAGGAATCAACCCCATCCATGCATAAATGTCAACAGCCCTTCAGTACCCAGCAGCAGCAGATAATGCATTTCCAGAAGAAACAATGCTCTGTGCTGACAGCATTCACACTCATAGCTCAGTCAGATGTGTTTATGCATAGCATCCAGTTTAAGCCCTGTGGATCTTAAAATATGCACACTCCAGATGTCTACAGCCTTTTCACATATAAATTTAAAAAAACCCAACACATCAAGTGTAACAGTTTTTCCCAAAACACATGAAGTGTAGGGCACATTTTAAGTTCAGCAGCAACTACAGTGAGTGGTACTGTCCTTTCAGAGCCAAAGTGTTTGTAGAAGATTACTAGGCTGAAAGGGCAGTGAGGGAGACAGCTGTGAGCAGCCTCCAAGTCTGGCCAGGTGACTGAAGCATCATGATTTATAAACCAGAAAATCCTTTACTGTGGTCATTTGCATCTGATGGCACAAACTCCCCACAAAAAGGTACCGGCAGCAAATGTAACCTGAGAACTTATTTCTGTCATCTAAAGAGCATGAACAACCTTGAACAACCTTCCTCCGCACCTGGAGCCCACGCCGACAGCCCAACGCAGGGCAGAAGCATTCCAGGAGCTGCTCAGAGGAGTGCACCCTGTGTAGGCAGCCCATGGGAGGGGCTGGCAGCACATTTTGCTGCCTGCCTGGTTTGCAGAAGCACACAGAATTAATAAATGTCCCCAGCACATCCACCTACTAGCGGCTGGTTGTCACTCCCCATGGCATTCCTTCCCAGCAGGCAGGTTCCAGAATGCACCCTAAGAACATCTGGATCAACTATTTCCAGACATTCAGAAATTATCCAATTCACAGAATCACAGAATGGTAGGAGTTGGAAGGAACCTCTGGAGATCATCTAGTCCAACCCCCCTGCTAGAGCAGGATCCCCTAGAGCAGATTACATAGGAACACGTCCAGGCGAGTCTCCAGGGATGGAGACTCCACAACCTCCCTGAGCAGCCTGTGCCAGGGCTCTCATACTCTCAGAGTAAATAAGTATTTTCTTACATTTAGCTTAAACCTCCTGTTTACCAGTTTGTGACCATTGCCCCTTTATTCATACTCAAGCTCCTCATGCTCTTCTGCTCAGCAGCTTCCACAGGGTTTCTATACCAGGGAACCAACAGCTATACTTTCAACATGGGAGTGCTAACTCCAGCATACTATGGAAACTTCCATTTCCAACCCTCTTCCAGCTGGCTGGCTCTGGGAGCTCCTAGGATGCTCCTAAGTGGCAACTTTTTATCATTCCTCTCTCAGAACAAACCAAAACAAAGCCAGTTTTCTCCAGTTCAGCCATATGTCCCTACCTCTGACCACAGTGTCCCCCATTTGTTATCTATGAACAGTAAACTCAGGCAGGCAGCCCACTCCTTAATCCTCAAATGGAAAAACACAACATTCCTAGGCTCTTGCCTAACAGACAAGGCACAGGTGTAAGTAAACAATCACAAAATCCCACGAGCAGACAGACCTTGGGCATCCCAAGGTCTGCAGATGCCCTTCAAATCCTATGAAGTGCTCCTCATAAAATCGCACAGAATTGCATCATTAAAGGGTGACACCATTATCTGGCTGGAAGCAGAGCAAGATTGCCCCAAATATAAGGTTTGTATGCACAAGAGTATATTTCTTAGAGAACCACATCAAATCCTCTGCAATGGTGTGTGAGCTTTTTCAAAAGAAAAGGTCCAGGAAGACCTTCTTTCTCCTGCACTCAGTATAAGGCAAAAATTTCACCTTGCAGAAAATAAAGCACAAAGAATATTTTGTTCTCATTTACCCTGAACTAACTGAGAATAGAAAAACACCAAAATTAAGGTCAGTCCTCTTCTGGAATCAAACAAAAAGTCTATACATCCACATTTGCCCTGTACTTTGTGAGCATTAGCACAGCCTGAAATGAGCGTTCACATTTTTAACTGCACGTTTGCTCACTGACAGTTCAGCACTGTGGTTTCACCTCTGATACACACTGCCATAGGGTAGGATCTTCTGATAACCCACCACACAGCCCAGCACTAAAAATGCAGCTCAATTACGCTGTCCTAGCGCTGGTCAAGGGACACCCTTAAGGTATTTCACAGACACATTAGTCAAATTTCACAGCCCCCAGCTGGCAGGAGAAGTTGCCCTCCCTGTTTTACAGGTGAGGAAACAAGAATTGCAAACAGACAAAGGGGCCACAAGTTTAGGGTCTCTCCTGCATAGGTAAAAGGGGATTTCTAATCTCTGCAAGCGCTGCTTCTTCAATCACTTCTGCCAGCATAGGCGGAGCACTGACACTGCTCCTAAGTAATTCACTTGGTATCCTCAAACAATTTTAGATCATCCTTTTCTCTTTTTGTTCTGCAGTAAATTCTCTTTCCCCTGACTAACCTGTTACACATACTGCAGCCCTTCCCTATGTACACAGGCCGAACTCTGGCAGGCCCAGCTGTGACTGATCAATAAAGCTCTACAATGGCAGAAAGTTCAGAAGAGCTGGGTAATGTGCCTGTGAAACTCAGAAAATAATGCAAGATGTGACTGATCACAGCTCTTCCAAAGAAGCTGACTTTATCTCAAAACAAAGGACACCAGAGTGTTTGTTTTAGATAAACACCTGTGTTAGTTGAGTGGATTAACTGGTGGTGTAACTCCCTGAGTTTATTGTAAGAATGTGAACACCTTCACACACTCAGCCAGACCACTAAAGGGGGATGAGTATGGGGCTCTGACCAACAGAGAGTATAAAAACTGAACAATTAACAAAATAATTTTGAAGAGAACAGCAGGTTTGAACTCATTTCAGCCCATGTATTGCTTCCTGGTGTTGGGGGTCACCCAGCATCATGCAGTAAGCATACTGTAGAGACCAGTGACGGAGATCACATTGGTATTGCAATTGCTGTATTTTGCCAAGAGTGACTTACATCTGTATTGTGTTACCTGGATATTCGTATCCCACTGCTAAACTAGAAACCTCATATAACATCAAATACCTTTGAATAAGTAGAACTGGTGTTAACCATTATACCCTCCACTTCTGGAGTATCTGAAAGAACCTCCTCAGAGAGTATTGGTGTCTGACACCAACATACACAGCCTATTTACAGATCTCTCCTGGTGATTCTGCCCCTCTGCATGCACAGCACAGCTCAACTTAGTCTAGTTTCACCACTGCATGGTCTTAGCCTGCAAGATCTCCTTCTGCAGCACAGGAAAGGAGGGAGCTGGGAGCCCAGCACACCAGCAGTGTGCAGCAGCATCGGCCAACACGTTCAGCCCCTCTACTCCCTACTTCTGCTTCTTCAAGGAACGCGTAAGTTACGCTTTGTGCAGCTGGGAAAGAGGAAAGAGCTCATTTTTCAGAGCTGGGAGGGTGAAAGGGATTAGTTGGGTGGGTGGAAACACAAGATGGAAGACACAAATGGAGCCTTCCCACACTATACCGTCCCCTCCCACACCTCAGGATGCACTTCATAGTCTTTTAGGAGTTGCTGCACTGCAGGGCATTAGAGGATCTGCAGAGGTGTTCACACAGCTGCTTCCGTGACAGGGACCACTGCCTGCAACCAGCCACTGTGGCAACTGGACTGGCCCTGCAGCTGCCTCGTGCCAAGCTGACTTTGCCCCACTGGCACCCAACAGAAAGCAACTGGCACCAACTGGCACCACTGCCCCACTGGCACCAACTCCAGAAAGCGCTGGATGCCAGCAGAGAACATGTAGTTTATCAGTAGCCTTGTCCTGTATGTCTTCTTTTAGTGCATACTAACTACCACATGGTTTCTCCTACCCACGTCCTTCAGTGAGGAACTAATCTACCACATATAATCTTCTCCCTTCAAACACACCACCCTTAATGTCAAACAAGACAGACAAGACAGAGACTTCATCTTTAGCTAGGTCACAACTCACCGCGTCAACAATACGCTGGATTTCTGGAGTAGCAGGCTGAGTCTCAGATAAGCCCCCAGGTACCACAGCGGCAGGTAACATCTCTGTGAAGTGATAGGTAGTTCTACAGAGGGAAGTTCAGTGCAGTCTGAGCAGAGTCACCAGGCATCTTGTATATATACACATACATGTGTCATGGAATCACATGACCTGTAACATATGGAGCCTACCATTACTGGACTGGAAAGGGGGAGAAATTGGGGAAAAGAGGACGGAAAAGCAATGTAAAGCACTGATAATACTAATAAATAGGAAAAAGTATTTTAAAATATTAAGTGTATAAAGTTCCCACATCAATAAGAAAAATAAACAACAGCCTCCAAACACCTACATCTTTGGACATTTGGTCTGGGCTGAAACTAGAACCTCTTGACTCTCCACCCATGGGCAAATGACTAGTCTAAGGAAGTGGATCAGAGTCACACCTAGTATTTCCCAATGCTATTCAATATCAAAAGCAATCATGCAGTAATTTCCTAAGTGCAGGTCCTATTCAGCTTTAAATTGGATTGCCTCAATAGCCTTCCAAGTGGGACAAAATGCACCAATGCAGGCAGCATGGGGAATAAACAGGAGGAGTTAGAAGTTTGTGTGCGATCTAAGGGTTATGATCTGGTGGCAATTACAGACACATGGTGGGCTACCACATGGTTTCTCCTACCCACGTCCTTCAGTGAGGAACTAATCTACCACATATAATCTTCTCCCTTCAAACACACCACCCTTAATGTCAAACAAGACAGACAAGACAGAGACTTCATCTTTAGCTAGGTCACAACTCACCGCGTCAACAATACGCTGGATTTCTGGAGTAGCAGGCTGAGTCTCAGATAAGCCCCCAGGTACCACAGCGGCAGGTAACATCTCTGTGAAGTGATAGGTAGTTCTACAGAGGGAAGTTCAGTGCAGTCTGAGCAGAGTCACCAGGCATCTTGTATATATACACATACATGTGTCATGGAATCACATGACCTGTAACATATGGAGCCTACCATTACTGGACTGGAAAGGGGGAGAAATTGGGGAAAAGAGGACGGAAAAGCAATGTAAAGCACTGATAATACTAATAAATAGGAAAAAGTATTTTAAAATATTAAGTGTATAAAGTTCCCACATCAATAAGAAAAATAAACAACAGCCTCCAAACACCTACATCTTTGGACATTTGGTCTGGGCTGAAACTAGAACCTCTTGACTCTCCACCCATGGGCAAATGACTAGTCTAAGGAAGTGGATCAGAGTCACACCTAGTATTTCCCAATGCTATTCAATATCAAAAGCAATCATGCAGTAATTTCCTAAGTGCAGGTCCTATTCAGCTTTAAATTGGATTGCCTCAATAGCCTTCCAAGTGGGACAAAATGCACCAATGCAGGCAGCATGGGGAATAAACAGGAGGAGTTAGAAGTTTGTGTGCGATCTAAGGGTTATGATCTGGTGGCAATTACAGACACATGGTGGGACAGCTCACATGACTGGAATGTGGTCATGGAAGGTTATGTCCTTTTAGGAAAGACAGGTCAGTGAAGAGAGGTGGTGGAGTTGCTCTTTTATGTGAGAGAGCAACTAGAATATATTGATTTCTGTCCAGGGGCTGATGAGGAGCAAGTGGAAAGTCTGTGGGTGCAAGGGGCAGGCTGGCATGGGTGATACAGTTGTGGGGGTCTATTACAGACCTCCTGATCAGGATGGGGGAGTTGATGAGGCTTTCTGCAGGCAGCTGAAAGCAGCCTTGTAACTACAGGCCTTGGTCCTCATGGGAGATTTTAACTACCCAGGTATTTGCTGGAAGGCCTACACAGCCAGCCATTCACAGTGTAGAAAGTTCCTCCAATGCATTGATGATAACTTCTTGACACAAATGGTGGACAAACCAACTAGGAGAGGAGCGGTGCTGGATCTTGTGCTCACCAACAGGGAGGGTCTGGTTGAAGTGGTGACAGTCAGTGGCAGCCTTGGCTGCAGTGGTCACAAGATGGTGGAGTGCAGAATCCTGTGTGGGAGGAACAGAACACCCAGCAGCACCAGAACCCTGGACTTCTGCAGGGCCAACTTTGGTCTCCTCAATCGTTAAAGGAAGTCCCATGGGACAGGGTGCTAGAAGGTAAAGGGGCTCAAGACAGTTGGTCAAAATTCAAGGACCACTTCTTGGAAACACAGGATCAGAGCATCCCAATGGGTAGAAAATCAAGTAAGGGATTCCGGAGACCCGCATGGATAAGCAAGGAACTGCTGGGCAAACTCAAGTGGAAAAAGAGAATCTATGGATCATGGAGGGAGGGGCTGGCCATTTGGGAGGAATATAGGACTGTTGTCCGAGGATGTAGGTATAAAGAAGGCAGAGGTGCTGAATGCCTTCTTTGCCTCTGTCTTCACTCCTGCAGGGTCTCCCTATGAGCCCCAGATTCATATAGCCCCAGAAGAAGTCAAGATAGAGGAAGAGTTTGACATGGTAGATGAGGATTGGGTTAGGGATCAGTTGAGTAATCTGGACATCCATAAATCAATGGGTCCAGATGGAATGCACCCAAGGGTGCTGAGGGAGCTGGCGGAGGTCATTGCTAGGCCACTCTCCATCATCTTCAGTAAATCATGGGCAACAGGTGAGGTGCCTGAGGACTGGAGGATAGCAAATGTCACTCCAGTCTACAAGAAGGGCAAGAAGGAGGACCCGGGTAACTATAGACCGGTCAGCCTCACCTCCATCCCTGGAAAGGTGATGGAACAACTTGTTCTTGTGACTATCTCCAGGCACATCAAGGACATGGGGGTCATCAAGAGCAGTCAGCATGGTTTTATCAAGGGTAAATCATGTTTGACTAACCTCATAGCCTTCTATGAGGAAATTACTAGGTGGATAGATGATGGTAGAGCGGTAGATGTGGTTTATCTTGATTTCAGTAAAGCATTTGACACCGTCTCCCACAGCATCCTTGTGGATAAGTTGATCAGGTATGGGTTTGGTGACCAGGAAGTGAGGTGGATTAGGAACTGGTTGAAAGGAAGGAGTCAGAGAGTTGTAGTCAATGGGGTAGAATCTGGTTGGAGGTGTGTTACTAGTGGAGTCCCACAAGGGTCGGTGCTGGGACCGGTGTTGTTCAACATCTTCATCAACGACCTGGATGAGGGTATAGAATGTACCCTCAGCAAGTTTGCTGATGACACTAAGCTGGGAGGAGTGGCTGACACACCAGAAGGCTGTGCTGCCATTCAGAGAGACTTAGATAGGTTGGAGAGTTGGGCGGGGAGAAACATGATGAAATTCAACAAGGGGAAGTGCAGAGTTTTACATTTGGGGAAGAACAACACCATGTCCCAGTACAGGTTGGGGGCTGACCTGCTGGAGAGTAGTGTAGGTGAAAGAGACCTGGGGGTCCTGGTAGACAGGAGGATGACCATGAGCCAGCAATGTGCCCTTGTGGCCAAGAAGGCCAATGGCATCCTGGGGTGCATTAGAAAGGGTGTGGTTAGTAGGTCAAGAGAGGTTCTCCTCCCCCTCTATTCTGCATTGGTGAGGCCACATCTGGAGTATTGTGTCCAGTTCTGGGCCCCTCAGTTCAAGAAGGACAGGGAACTGCTTGAAAGAGTCCAGCGCAGAGCTACGAAGATGATTAAGGGAGTGGAACATCTCCCTTATGAGGAAAGGCTGAGGGGGCTGGGTCTCTTTAGCTTGGAGAAAAGGAGACTGAGGGGTGACCTCATCAATGTTTACAAATATGTAAGGGGTGAGTGTCAGGGAGATGGAGTTAGGCTTTTCTCAGTAATGACCGGTGATAGGACAAGGGGTAATGGGTGTAAATTGGAGCATAGGAGGTTCAAGGTGAATATCCGAAAAAAATTTTTTACTGTGAGAGTGACAGAGCCCTGGAACAGGCTGCCCAGAAAGGCTGTGGAGTCTCCTTCACTGGAGACATTCAAAACCCACCTGGACACGTTCCTGTGTGATGTGCTCTGGGTGACCCTGCTCTGGCAGGGGGGTTGGACTAGATGGTCTTTCGAGGTCCCTTCCAACCCCTAGGATTCTGTGATTCTATGAAAATATCAGCTTGCTATTTACTTTCAGTGACTTTTCTTCCCTCTGCCTGACCAGAAAGGTGCTATGGCAAACACCAGAACCAGAAGGGGAAAAAAATAAATCCTAGGTTCAGGTAAATACTGCAAAGTTATTTCTACTTCTTTCATACCAAACCTATAGCTGCATTCAGGCAATCATAACAACAACTGAATATGCAGTACCACGGACATTTTTATTGCAACTCCAGTGATGATCTCCTGGAAGACAAAGTACGATTCCTCTCGCTACAGTAGCTGTCTGTGAACAACAGGTGCTCTACTTTCAAGGTATCTCCCACCACAGAAAATATGGTCAGAAGTATTCATTCTGCAGTCACAGTCACATGGCACAATCAATGTACAAAGCTCAAAATAAGTGCAACCTACTGAGGGAAGGCGAGCAACTGTTAGCAGCCCAACTTGATAAGGAAGAGCTAACACTTCAAGATCACAGAAAAACTACTGCCCTTCAGAATTCCTGGCAAGCCCCTCTCCAGCAAACAGGAGGAATGTGGTTCAAGAGAAGTAGCAACAGACCATATAATTTTTAATCCCTACAGAGGGGTACATAGGAGGGAGTGAAACAAGAGTATGTGCTGCACACAGGGAATAGGCATTTTTGCTGGCATCAGCATTAGGGAATTCGCCAGAAACAAGTTGTCTGTGGCCACAGCAATGGTGACTGCAGAGCACACACGTACCCATGTCCTAACCAGCCTACTGATCTTCCTCATAGTTTATTATTGATGCACAAGTCTGTCACCAATTACTTCATAACTTCAAAGCCCTTTCTTGGTACAAAGGACCCGAGATTGAGAAATTGAGGCTGAAGGGCCCTAAACTGATCATAGATCAAGGTAAGAGCAGGTTACCAAAAAGGATGTTGCAGAATTCCCCAAACTTGGGCAAGTAGTGTTATGGGAGTGGATGAAAGGCATTTCTGAGACAACAGTTGCTTTGAGATAACATCTTCCTCAACAACGATAATAAAGGGAATGGGAAGTGTTAAAGGTGGAAGTCTGTAATTTTCTCCAAATTCATCACTCCAAACGAGCAGTTCTTCACAGCCCAGTTCCTGGAGTTTATGACAATTCAAGCTGATGAGCTTAAACTCCTTCTTTTGCTGATCCTGCTGACGCAAGTGCTGATCATCTCCCACCCTGTTGCTACCACACATCTTATTTACACAGCAGGATAGAGGAGCTAAGTTCCTGGAAGTGCCAGCTCACCTTACTGAGGCCAGAAGCCACAGAACGCACCCAACAACTGTGCAGCACCAGTGCTAAATTGGAGTTACTTTATAAAACTCCCCACTCAGCAGGATGCATATCTCACTAACTCCCCTGGGAAGGAATGTCGACAAGATCCCCAAGGAAGCACCACTGGAGAACTCTTTATTATAATTAGTAAGAAATACACTAAGCACCAAAACTAGGACAGTTAATTTATTATCTTGGGAAAACTCCAGGTGTAAAATGAAACATGTTAACGTTGCACTGGACTCTCTATTTCTGGATTTTCTTGGTTTTGACTTCAAAGCAGATTTTTTTCCCCTGAATGCACAGAGTTGTGCAGAAGGGAAGGGAAATCAACACTAGCTGTCAGCAAGCTGATGCTAAAGGTTACACAGGCTGATCCAACTGTTTCCTTCTGTGGGAGTGTTAATAGCCATCCCCAAATCCAGTGATATTTCTAAGGCTGGGATTCAGCATTCATCCTGCACACATACTTAATGAAGCCACTTTGAAATGCTGACGTTTCAGAGAGCTGCTATCAAAGATGATGAGTGGCAATGGACTATCCTAGACAACCCTCACCTGCACCTCTCCCTGTTAAAATCTGAGTTATCTGGGTGAGGGGATTGAGTACACCTTCAGTAATTCTGTGGATGATACTAAATTGGGTGGGATTGATCTGCCTGAGGGTAGGAAGGATCTACAGAGGGACCTGGACAGGCTGGATTGATGGGCCGAGCCCAACTGTATGAGGTTCAATGATGTCAAATGCTGGGTCTTGCACTTGGGTCACAACAAAACATTTAATTACTGAAAGAGTGGTCAGGCATGGATCAGGCTGCCCAAGGAAGTGGTGGAGTCACCAGTCACCATCCCTGGAGGTGTTAAAAGAACATATGGACATAGTACTTCAGGACATGGTTTAGCTGGCATGGTGGTGTTGGGTTGACCATTGGATTTGATCTTTTCCAACCTTAGCGATTCCATGATTCTAATGACACAGCATTTGAAACATTGCCTTGGAAAGAACAACCACCCCCACTGCATCCCTTGCACAACATCAACCACCTAGTCAGCAACCCCACTTCAATATCTAGGTGTGTTTGACATTACATACCATTCCAGCCTATACTCACCATTGGTACAGATGACAATTTCTCGTCAAAAACTGATTGGCTGTTAACTTGGAGAATTTGTGCTGGGAGAGCAGCACCGGTGTTCTTTATAGTTCCAAAGCTGAGTAACAGCTTGCACTACGTACTATTCCAGTAATGAAGAAACAAATCTTTACAGCTGGCAGACCACTACTCGCTGGTCTGGTATAGGCAATTTTAAGAGGCAGAAGCTATAGTCAATAAAAACACCAGCAAACAACAAAAAAACACCCCAAAAAACTCAAACCCCAGGGTTATGTATTTATGAGTTATTTTAAAGAAATTAAGCCACCTCTGTAGAAATGATGGTGAAAGCTAAGGTCATAGGTCAGTCTTATGGTTGCACAGTGAAAAAATACGTAATCGTGACTGGATGAAATGACACATGGTTTGCACCATTTCAAGAGCTGCTAAAGGAAGGCAGCTCCCCATCAACTGAATATCTGTTTGTCATCAGCACAGTAACAACAGCCTTGACTTTCAACGTGCTGGTCTGCAAAACAGGTTTCCTGTCCTGCTACCCACTCTGATTTCAAAAGATTTCTGACAGTGCACATCAACCGGGATTAACAGAAACCTGAACTTCAGCAGCACAAAGTCATCGTATCTCCACCTATGCTGAGCCTATGTTACCAGTAAAAAGCCTCTTTCCCTCAGTCTGATTCAAGAGAAATTCTATACTTAAAAACATTCTGTAAAGAGATTATCTGCTCTGTTAAGAGATGACTCATCAGTCTTGAGTGCCTCCTCAGTCTGATTTCAGAGAAATTCTATACTTAAAAACATTCTGTAAAGAGATTATCTGCTCTGTTAAGAGATGACTCATCAGTCTTGAGTGCCTACAGGTTGCAGAAGTCAACAGCACTGAGTTCCAGAAAAAACACACCTCTCTATTTCACAGAAGGAAACAAGCCCACGCTTGAAAGGGTTTTCCAAGGAATTGGCATCTGCCCACTTATAGTCACGACTTCCAAGGAATGGACAAGCCCCAGTAGAGGGGCAAGCCACTTGCAGATCTAGACTGTGGGCAGGAGCATCAGTTGTGCTTTTTGTTCCAGTGTCTCTACTTGCAGAAAGAAAAGTTGAAACCAGGAAAAGGATGAAATCCTGGTATTTGTGGGGTCCATTATACAATTCATATATGACATCAAGCAGCCCAGTAATTTTGTGATTACCTTAAAGGTAAAGTTGAAGCAAGATTTAATCACAGACTAAACATGATTCTAGGATGGACAGGGTCAGTTAGACAGATTTTACCTGCCTTTCTTTAGCTTGGCCCACTGCTCACACCAATGCCATTTGCATAGCATCACAAAACATCCCACTTCATGGGCAGATCTTAAGTACTCAGAAAAATAACAAAGCCATTTTCTCCTTCTCTGTGCCCAAACACATGGCATGCAATTCCAGTTGCTCACCTTAATAAGTACCACTAAGTTCAATAGCAAGATTCAAACAGCCTCTGATCCACGTGACTTGTCATGTACTGTAAGACATACCCCTCGGTGCTCAGAGCAAACTAAACAGAATAATTCAACTTCTTGGTGCAACCCGCTGTGTACAAGCTGCAAACACCTGAAGAAGGGATGTTTGGGAAACTTAGAAGTCTTCTTACCATGTTAGAAGTTTTTCATATACAGGTTTGTGTGGATCTACTTGTTTGGCTTTATATTCAAACAAGAAGTAGTGCTGTGTTGGGGTTCTTTTATGTTTTTTTATCGTAAGAAATGCTAAGCTGGGTTACTGAAAAAATAAATATTTGTGTATGTATCACATCCATTTTACAGGTCATTTTTCACAGCATTTGCTTAAGTGAAGGAGTTTTCCCACAACAGCTGAGCAAAAATCTGGACGGATAGAGGAGGACAGTGATTAATTCTCATTACAATCTCTAGTTTCTAAAGAAATACAATACAAGCTTAAATTCAAAGAGTATTGATACCAACTCTATAAATGCTGGCAAAAGTTTCTACCATACAATTGGCTCAAAAGGAGACTTTGTCCCCACATTTGTAGATCCAAGCCTTGGAGAGAACAAATACTTTAGACACCTATTTTAGAGGTCAGTACTTCAAAATCAAAACTAACAGTTCTCATCTCATTAGTGGACCATCTCCTGTGGAAATGAGGTTACTGGGAATTCAGCCCACTGTTCTGAGCAGTGTTGCATTTCCACTTAGAAGATAAACAAATAAGAATTTAACAAATGAAAAACAAACAAGTTATCTGCTTTCAGAATCGCAGAAAAACAATGAGAATACTTCAAGTGTAAGACAAGTGCTCCAACTGGAGTAAAGATCTGCTCAGAGCAGCTGCAGTATCTTGGGAAAAAAAGGATTAAAAAAATGAAGTTTGAGCATTCGGATTTACATCTTCAAAGACTTAAAATATATTTCTGCTTCATTCTCCAAGGAAAATGATACTAAATTATTCTGCTGCCTAAAAATAAAGGCCACCGAGTAGTTTGAGTCTCTACCGTACAAACAGCTATAAAACAGATGATGCTGCACAGATTTTTGCCAGCATGCAGTAACACAGGTACATTCCTCCACTTATTTCTCACCTCCTGTATTTGCACGGCTTTTAGGGATGCGAGAGTACACAGTCATTTCAGTGCTGTTACTGAATTCCAAAGTGTTTGCAAGGTGGAACCTGTGTTTTTAAGGCTCTGTTTCAGTTCAATGGTTTTTAAAGACTTATCACTAAGTAATAAAACCAGCTGGCAACCAAGCAGACCTTGTCATTTGACTTGTCAGCCCATTAGTTAGCAAAATTCAAGGCATAATTACAGCAACTCTGTTTTCCTCATACTCAGCCACTTTTAAATACTGTGTTACTGCAGGGGTGTTGCATTAAAGTTTTCTCGATAAAATACTATGGCCAGACTAAACAGGATCAGGTATGCACAGCTATTTCCTTGGTTCAAATGCAACTCACCCATAGAGTAATTTTACAAGTTCAGAAGGAGGGACAAAATAGGGTCAGTCGGTAGCTAACTGTCTCATTCACATCTTCATCTTCAACCCAAAGTGGTTTTAATTGACATGACATTCCCTCTTTGAAGAAAATAATCCAGAACTTGGAACACAAAGCAAAGGACAGTATGCAAGAGATAGTGCCTGGCAGCACTGTGGGAACAAGGGCAAACATGCACCCGCATCCACTCTAAACCAATGCTGCTAGTGCTGAGTAGTTCAGAACAACACTGGCAGCATCTTTCAGGGAGGCTGAACCTACACTTGCTGACCATGCTGCAATTTTTATTTCCTTTCAGATTTTAGTAGATTAGTTGCGCAAACGCATGATGTCACTGATGATTTAGCAAGAATCAGCTGAGGAAGAGCCCTGTTCTCCCTGTTCAAACCTGGTTTTTACTGTGTCTTCCTCTTGAAGGCAGCTGAAGCTGTAGAAGCTCAAAAAAGATGCCAGCTTCACATTCCATTTGAAAATTATTTTAATACTATAAAACTCATTTGTTCACATATTTTGTACAAAAGATGAGTTGTTTTCTCTTAATTACAGGAGAATCATATCAACCTTGAGATTTCAGCTAAGTAGGTCCATAACAAAACAAGACTGGGTTTGACTGGTTCTGGAGAGTCCAAATACAGCTCACCCAAGGTCTCTTTCCAGTTTGGCTCTCAAGGTTATGGACCACCTCGATGGAAAATACCCCACATCATTGACTCTTCGGAGGCTTGTAGTGAATTCGGCAACGCTCATTAAATACCTGAGACACCAAAACAAAAGAGCAAAAGCAAATTAGGTCTCATCCAAGAGATAAGCAGACCTTCAGAGCTAGAGTTCAGGCAACTATCTCTTCACACAGCACCCATCTGAAGCTGCCCAGCCCTGCTGTACCAATTAATGGTACTTACCAATGCATCTGCCTCCATTCACCTTCTCTCCTGGCTCTGAATCCAAAGTTTGCAGCCTGATGCTGGGGGCCTGCACAGCACTAAAAGTGTTCTCCCTCAGATAAGGCAGGCTCATAATCCTGGTAGTCTGTTATCATCAAAGATGCTGATGCAGTTTTTTTTTTTAATAAAAAAGGAGGGAAATGATCAATGGAAGGCTCCTGTCCAGCTGTGTTCTGTTAAATTCATTCTGGCATTCAAATTTGGACACTGTTCTGTCCTGAGCAAAAGTATTTTACATTTTCGTGACAGCTAAGACGAGGTACAAGGGCTCTTGGAAGCCACATTCACACTGACCACAGGTGCTAATGCTGCCAACATTCCTAGGCAAAGGGCATGCTGCTCTGGCCCCTCTCACCTCTGGCACTTTCGCTGGATAAAATTTAGCATGCAGAACCAGAGACTGAAGATCATGTTCATTTAGCTTGAACTGCAGGCCTTGTCAAGCAGACTGCTTACACTAGGGAGGGCCGATAACTGTGACTATTCCAAGCAAGGCAGTCTGAATCAGAAACACGACACAGAAGCTCACACACCCAAGTTACAGGTGCTCTTTACACGGGATTGAGTTACTTCTTGTTTCGGCTCCGAACTTTGTCCAGCGTCCTGAGGAGCGACACGAGCACCATCTCGCACCATGCGGAGGCACCGCCGGGGATGAGCTTCCACACCAGCACTCCTGCAAGTGCACGTTTTGCCAGGCTGTCCAGGAACTTTTCAGATCCAAATGCTTGTGATCATCAGGGTATCATATTTTGTCAACTCTCCCATTGGCTTCCATTGATCTTTTAATTTTGGGGAAGTTATGCATCTCTTTATATAAATGCATTATTTTAAATCTTATCTTCTTAGAATCATAGAATGGTTTGGGTTGGAAGGGACCTTAGTTAAAACCTTAGTTCAGGATCTAGTTCAAACCCCCAGCATTGGCAGGGACACCTCCCACCTCCTCCAGTTGCAATCCATTATCCCTTGACCTATCTCTACAAGCCCTTGTAAACAGACCCTCCCCAGCTTTCCTGTAGCCCCTTCAGGTACTGGAAGGCTGCTATGAGGTCTCCCCAGAGCCTTCTCTTCTCCAGGCTGAACAACCCCAACTCTCTCAGCCTGTCTTCGTAGGAGAGGAGCTCCAGCCCTCGGATCATCCTCTATAATATTCTACTGCTACACTTGATTGCTTATTCAGATTTTAGAAAATGGCAACTTCAGCACAAGTGATGTTTGCAGCATGCATTAGTTATGGTGTTGATTCTTAAGAAGTGTTGAGTCATCTACAAATCATCTTCAGAATTAATTAAGAAACAGACACATGTTAGAAACTGCTTCGTATTGCAGAAATCAAAAGTCATGATATAGTTTCTTTCAGACCCACACCCCGACAGCCGACTGTCCCATTATGTCACCACGTGCAGTGAACACCTCTGGAAGAGTTAAGAACATGCAAAAGCCTGAGACCAACTAAGCAATAGAAGGAAACTGAAGGAAATTAAGAGCCACAAATGGTTCCCATTTTAATACTAAGCATATTGCACTATTTATGTCCATTGTCTGTCAAAGATATTTTAAGGGCATATATGTCGTAAGGGGTACTGGAAATAACACTGTAAGACTGTCTTGCATCAAACAACACAACAGCTTGCTATCATGCAAACTTCTAAAGCATCTTTAACGTTACTTGTGCAGCCTATGGAAGGAAGACCAATACTGCCATCTTACTAACTCTGCTTCCTGCTTTTAGGGTCATTGGGCCATAGATCTCAGGGTGTTACTCAGCCACTCAGCCCCACTGTGAAGTGCTATTTTCATTCTTTAGACAGGAAAAACTGTGCCTGAGAAACCTTTACATTCAGGTTACTATGCACAAGTTTGATTTTGCTGACTTGTATTACTACAAAACACTCCAAACATAAACTCCAGTGTGGAGGTGCTATACAGAGACTAATTCAAGTGTCTTCTTTTGGAAGTCAATTCTTTGCTTGGTATGACCCATACAAAACTTCACAGAATGCATTTCTACAAAGCAGCATCTTTCTATATGCTTCCATTGCTACAGCTACCCAGAGTAAGAGTTTGAAAATAAGTTTGTTTCCTAACAAGATTTTTCCAATCAGTTTTCAGTTGGTTAGGGTTAATGTAAATATCTTAGTGTACTTTCTAACTAAAAGTCTGCAACAGTGAAAAAGAGTGGAGGTCCTTGCCTGCAAACCATAAGGGTTAAGATAATCCTGTACCATGCAAACATGATTATTTAGAAATGTTCTCCATCTTCAGGAGAAACTAGAAGCTTCTGTCACCTCCAAAAGCTTAACACACCTACTGGAAACCACTGGCATCAGTGCCAACTTTGGTGCCAGTTCAAGGCTTTGGAATGGAGACAGTGGTGGGTAAGTCTTCCCTCTACCCCTTTTAAATAAAACTGACAGCAGAGTTGCCATAAAATGTTTGCCAGTGGTGGCCTGCAGCACATTAAGGCTGTGGTGCTGCTTAGTTATATCTGAGCTGGCTTTAAATTAATCAAGTTAAAGGGCATGAATAGCTTTTTCTGACAGTACAGAGGTAGTACTGACAGCAAAGCATACCTGGAAAAATGCGTAGATTCTCATCTAATCAGCCTGCATTGAGCTGTATTGTGGTAACTAGACCTCCAAGGATACACAAGCTGTATTACATTCACACTGATGCAATCTAGAGAACTAAAATCCTGAAGTAGAGATTAAAAAGGAGCTGTAGCTAGTATGAGCTGTTTGCAAAAATCCTTTTTCCATTTAGAGATGGGAAGATGTTCTCTATACAGTACTGAAAGCTCTGAAAAGTTGCCACAAATGAGAAAAGGATACTAGACGTGAAACGCTGCAGTGACAGAATACAGCCACCTCAGAATCTAAGCTCAGTGTTTAACTGTCTTTAGAAGACAGTGTCTGGGGCCATCAATCCAGAGGGTAAACTGCCCCCTCTGCTGACACAGGGGAGCAAGGGCAAGCCTGCCCTTTGCACCAGGGAGCACCAGTTCTGGCCTGCAGAAGCTCCAGCAGGGAAATAATCCTCTGGCCCTTGCTCACTCAGAAGCATTACCAGTACCAAAACCAGCCACATTTAAAAAGATCCCTCACCTTTTTAAGAGGCCCAGCAAAGCTTTTCAAACAAGCCACCACAGAAAATTCTAAGTCTTTAGCCAGTGAGTAAGGCAAAGAAAGGGGTCTACACAGGAGGTACCACAGTCATTCCTCTGCATTAAATCAGATGCTTTTCTTTCCTTTGCAGTGCAACTGAAAAGCTTTGATCTCTGCATCCAGGACTGGGAAAATGACTGACCTGAAACATCTCCCCAGCACTACCCTTACATATTTCTAATTAGCCTGTCTCATAAAGCACAGTCCCACACCTCCAGTGCAGGACTGTCTGTTGCGACAGAAAAACATCACTGTTTTAAATAACTGAGTACCTTCCAGCTTCTGTCGTTTACCACTTCTTCAACATTCAGCTCCGACTGCATCAATTTCAACTGCAGAAAGTAACAGATAAAAGAAGTTATTATCAAACAGGCCTTCCTGCAGCCTTCAGTATTTACCATTGCAGCTTTCTAGACCACAAACCCAGCACCAGGTGCACATCCCCTTCGACGGTGCAAACTCGAGGGCACAAGGTGTAACCATCCCAAAAGTCTGGCCCTTCCATTCAGCCAATATGTGGGGCAGACTGAAGCCTGCAGCGGCACAGGAAAAGCATATTCAGGATGACAGCCTGGAAGAAGTATCTCCTGATTGATTACTAGTGCTTAAATATTGCCAAACAAGATTTGCTAGCAATTAACTAATTCATGCTAGTGGCTTCACAGACAAAATTAACCACGTGTAATTCAAGCACTTGGCAAGGGAAATGCCAGTGCTGGGGTGAGCTCTGCAGCCTTGAGTTGTTATTCTTTCACATATACATCATTGAAGTCATATAGAGAGCTGGCAGAAAAGCTAGAACTGAGCACAGATCTCAGATTCTGGATATAGACTTAAGATCACAGAGAGATCCCCTCTGCTTCTTTGTTGCCCACTATGTGCACTGACCAAAAAAGGGTCAACAAGACCAGATATATGTGTTGTCTGAACCAATTCATGTCTTATGTGATCGTAGGACAAATCAGGTTTACACAGATGAAAAAACTCCAGAAAGAACTACCCCAAATCCACAGTTCTTGAGAACTCACTCAATCCATGAGAAGTGTAAGAATCTCTTTGCTTCTCATCTATTAGAGACGCCAAGGGGCAGGTGTGACAGCTGTGTTCAGGTGATGTGCAGGATTTTGATCCTGCCACAAGGCCCTTAAGCAACAGCAGGAGCCATAAGAGCCATCTGGCATTTTTGCCAGGATGTATTTTGGTTGGAGCCTTTAACACAACAGTGTAAGGATCAGAGTTCATCAATTTCAAATACATCGTTCCGATTAGGGAGTTGGTGAACACGTGCAAGCCAAGACAGCAATCCCATCAAAAACCTTCCAAGTAAGATGTCCAGACACATGCAGCTATTACAGCTGTTGGATGGGTTTTTACCTACTCAAAAGAGCTTTAAACTGTTTGAAATAAAAATCCACAGGGTTGACCAGGATTAGTCTCTATAAATAACAGTTCAGAGGATGTGAACAGGTTTACAATCACCTGGATTGCAACTAATTGCCACATTAAGTGCCTTTGACACCCAACCTAAGCAAAAGTACTATTTTAGCTTTTTCCTTAAGAGTTGCAAACCTGAACAGCAATAGTGTCAATCAACATGGCTATACAGGGGAGCTTATTGTTTTTAAAACATACTCCAAACATTTTTACAAGCTTTACTAATTCACTTGATAAAGCTAACAATCATTATGCTATGTTTGGAATTTCTAGAATTTACCTGGTTGGATATTTTATGACACGTCATTCAAGTAAACTAAGAGGATAACAAATTAATACAATAATCAAATGATGCCTTGATGTAAGTGAACTAAAAGAACTGGCTGGTAGGCTGACGCTACTCCACATTTCCCTACTCAATGACCCAGAAGTAATAATTTTGGATAAAGCCCTCCAAATGATACCGTTCGCAGGATGAGAGTAACACAAATAACAAGTAAAACCAGACCTGTGTTGCAGCCAAGTGAATATACATCTGAAATGCATAATCTTAAATGTATGATGTGTTCTGTCAAGACAGTTTATCTGAGTTGTAGGAAAAACACAACTTGCATGGAGAACTGAAAAAAAAAACCCACAACACAAAAATGAGTGGACTATACCTCATAAAGCTCGAGTGCGAATTTGAGGTGATCTCATTAAAAGATTTCCGGGATGTTTTCAAATCATGGACTGCTTTTTAACATTTGAAATCACCCCCAATTATTGAACATTATCATTGTAATCCTCCTTGTGGCTTCAATGATAGGTTTTGATCTTAGTAACTAAACAATTTAAAGAACTGGCTCTGCAGACAAAATCTGTACAAAATATTTAGCTACCATTCTAGTTTTCCAAAGTAATATATATGCTTGTTAGCAGTTCCATGATGTTTTAAGAATAAAACCACTCACCTGCCACCCTGCTCTTTAAATCTGAGCTCACAACAGTGCACTTCTCTGAAGAGCACATGAACAAACCGTTCACTCACTGAATGCCTGGGAAAAATAACAGATGCTCCAGTTCAAATAATCCTCTAAGGAAGATCTTTTACTACAACTGCATCAGCATCCAACTGCTCTTTGTAACAGGGGCTACAACTGGTAAAGTAAAGGGGTAAGTGGATTTTGAGGTAGTTCAGCACCACAAAAGCAAAATTTCAAGCCCCATCTCTTCAAGTCTTAATTGTTTTGCAGCAGGGAAAGCTGCATCCCAGATATAGGATGTATACATATATACACACATGCATATATGCATATATATATACACGATGGTGAGGTGTCCAGCCGTTATGAAAAGACTCAAAGGCACTGGTTTAGACATCCTAGTTAGGACAGCCCTCAGGAGAGGAAAGCTCAACTACACTGTGGAACACCACAGATGCAACTAGTGAGTGCATGCAAAAAAGTAATAAGCAGTCTGATCTGGTACGTGCTGCAAGCATATGGTGTGGGCAAAAATGTGAAGTGAACAAGAGCCATTTGGAGCAGGTCTGAAAGATAAATCAACGGAACAGTACACATCCCTGCTAATCTCCACGCCTAAAGCTACATATGCTGTATGCATCCTTTCCCCTACCAAGGGGGCCCTTGACTAGTGGTGAGAATTTCAGCAGAGTTCTCTTCCCCACTTCTAACACTCCACCTAGATAACCTTTGTTCACCTTTGGTGAAGGACACTTTCCATCCAGAGGCCAGAAGGATGAGAGGGCATTTACACGTTGAAATTCCTTATGCAAACCCACAAGTCTTCCTGATGCCATCAGAAGGTACTCAAAAAATGAATCCAAGAAATACTAAACAACAAAAATTTGGCTAAGTGGAATTCAAGGTTGTCTGGCAGCTCCTCACAGAGGAGAGGAACTCCAATGAATGATGCTTGTCGTGGTGATGATGAAAAGGGACAGCTTTAAGGCTGCATAACTGTGTGGTAGACAAAATCGATTACCTTCAACATTTAATTATCTTGTATGTTTCAATCTTGGCACCCACTTGCCATCTGCAGATATGCTAATTTTACAAGATTTCAGAAAGGCAAAATTAACCTTCTAGCATTTTGAAAGGACCAGGCAAGCCCCAGGTAAGTTGTATGCTAAGTGGAGTTAGGCAGTGAAGGTTAGACTTCTCCATGGAGAAGTACAGGTTTTTCTATGGCATTTGTGTAACAGGATCTCAGAAATCGCTCCACTTGAAGGGTAAAAGCAACACTGTCTTGAGGGCTAGGGGAAATGGTTCTCACAAACACAGCCAACAAGAACCTCAGAGAAGACCACCTGAGTCAGGATCCATTTCAGGTTCTTTCCACCACACTGACCTTTCTGTTTGTGAAAGACACCCTCTCCTTCTCTAAAGTAATCTCTCAAATGTTCCACCACTCACCTTTGTCTGCTCTTTCCTGAGTTGCTTTAATAATGCTACATCTTCCTGGGCTTTTTCCCTCTCTTCTCTGAGAGTTTTCACTACACTGGAAGTCTGAGCAATGCAGCTTTTGATGATTCTCTCTCTGCTGGTGTGAGCATCCATCAACTAAGCAGGGGGAGAGAGAAAGTCACAACAACTCGTTAGGCAGAGAATAAAAACCTCTGAGTTACAAGTCAAAAGAGACTTCCTCAAGTCAAGGTATTGCTATGTCTATAGAAATTCCTTTGAGTTGGTAGCTGACGTGTTGGAAGCAACACCACTTTGAGGAGCAGCTACCAACTTGATCAAAAGTCAAAGATTCCCACAGGCAGGAGTCCTGCAAAGTAGTGCAAAAGCATCCTAGCTTGTAAAAGAACAAAGTGGGCTCGGCAAACACCGCCCGCTGAAGCCTGAAGTGCACCTTGAATGGCGGATAATGGTTTCAAACTGGGAAGAGGGGACATTCGTATTAGATAATAGGAAAACATTCTTCATTATGAGGGGGGTGAGGCATTGGGACAGGCTGCCCAGGGGAGCTGTGGCTGCCCCCTCCGGGGAGGTGTTCACGGGCAGGTTGGACAGGGCTTGGAGCAACCTGGTCCAGCGGGAGGTGTCCCTGCCCATGCAGGGGGGTTGGAACTAGATGATCTTTAAGGTCCCTTCCAACCCAGACTTTTCTGTGTTCTGTGATACTGTGAAATAAGTACCTTTGTGTGGTTTTAAACTGAAACAGAGCGGTTTAGCTGCATCGAGAAGCTGAGCATGCCAGCTACAGGTGGATAAAGCATGATGCATCGAGGCAGCGGTTCCTTTAGAAACTAAGGAGGCTTTACTGGGCACTGCACGTTCTAAAACACCTGGAAGTCGAAGGAGTGCGAACTCACAGACTGGTACAGCTCTTTACACGTCTGGCTGGCATCAATCTTCCCCACAAAGGAAGCTGTTGGAATCGTAGTGTTTAATTCATGGACGATCCGATCATCGATCGTCCTCATCACCCTGAGCAACTCCTGGAGGGCAAAATAAAACAGACGCCTTTGCTTACGTCTCTCACAGAAGCTTACTTCAAAACACAACCACCTGACTGAGTCTTTTTAACAGAAAATTCATCGGATCGCTTAGAAACAGGATAAAAAACCCCACCAGAAGAAATTCCTGCAGGCAGGAGTGGATGCTGCAGGCCAGCTAGTTTCTTTCGCAGCAAACACCAGAACCGGGGAGAGATCCGGGCAGAGCCGGGGGACCCGCACCCCCCGAGGGACCC